TGATAAGAGAATTTCACTTATAACGGAGCTTTGCTGATATTGAGGTTTCTGCCACCTTTTCCTCTAAAAGAACCCAATACCTATAACTGGGGACCTATGCAATTCGTGATTTTGCAGGTTGCAAAGAAATTGCGAAACCTGGCATTGTCCACAAAACCTGAAATTTTTTTTTAAAAGGGCTAAAAGTAAAATGCTGGCTCTCCAGTGGGAGCTGGCAGTCTTCAAGGAGCAGCAGCAGCACAGACTGCAAGGGAGGAAGTGGGGGTGGGGAGAGCTGCTGGTGTGAAGGTGAGCAGCCAAGATGGCAGCCACCCCCAACCCTTGCTGCTGATTTGCTGAAAGGGCTTCCCACTGCACAGCCCCACCCCTATCTGCCAATCAGCAATGAAAGGCAGGGCCACATGACAGACAGCCCTCTCAATCAATCAGTAGTGAGGATGTGGCCACCAGGGTCCCTTGGCCAGAAGCGTGTCTGTTGGGGACGGGGGAAGAAACCCCTGCTGCCCTAAGTCCATGAAAATAGTATCTGGCCCCATTTTTGGCCCACGAAATTGACTACCTGCCTCCTCACTTTCGGTAATATCCTCCAAAAATGTCTTGCATTCCAGTGACTGTAGGGAAACTGCAAGCCTACCAGTAAAATTCTGTAAAGCAACATTAGATGAGAGGAAGACATACAGAAAATGTTATGCATTATAGACACACACACATGCACATAAATGTATGGACATATGTTTATTATATATATACTTAAAGAATATTTGAGCAGTTTGGAAAGGTTACTGTGGAATAACTTCCACATTTGAGGGAGAGAAAAACCAAGACATTTACAGAGTTACATATTACTCACAGAAGCAGGGCACATCATCTCTTTATTGTTAATTGCTTTAGGATGTGAGAAGCAGCTCCTTCTTCCTGGGAACCAGGTTATGAAGAAGAGGAAGAACAAAAATCAAGAATCATTTAATAGTTTATTGCTTAGCTTGCATAAGCTTATGTAACTGCACGAGTGAAGCCCTCACCTCGCGGAAGCCAATGGCAAAATTTTTATTGCCTTCAGCAGAGTTCAGATTTTACCATGTTACTCATTAGAAGCATAAAGAATTATAAAGCACAGATTCTGAAAAAAACTGTTGAGTCCAAATTTCTATTACAGTGAGAAGAAAGAAAAAGTATTGTTGTTGTTTGACAAATTTACTAACAGGCTAATGAAATGTCTGCTAAAGTATTCAATCAAAAAAATCAAGTGCAAGTGCTCCAACCTAAAATTCTCAGATTGTTCTCTGCTGCCATACTGACTTTCTATTTCTATCTTGCAATTTTTGCAGAGACGGGTTAAACCAAAAGTTTATATACAGTCGATCCTACCCAAACAGAGGAACAAACGGCTTCAGTTTTGCTTTGGACCCATACATGCAAGCTTTGTGTAGATCCTGACGCTTCATAAATATTATCTGAAAATCTGGCCTTCCTGCTCGGTCTTCCTCATCAATATTTAACCATTTAATCATGCTGACCCCCAACTTTCACTATATACTTTCTAATTTCTTAATAGGTTCCTTTTTTCTTTCTCCTAAGCTATCCCCCACATATTGGGAAATCTCCCAGTTGATATCAGCTCACTCTTTTCCAATATATTTCTTAAAATATGTCATGTTCATTCATTACATAAAAATCCTAAACTTGTTAACAGTGTCTACAGGACTACTCTTGTAAAAATATGCATACGTGTAAGCATTTGCAGGAATGAGGCCTTAGAAGTGAATTGAAAATATCAATATAATGTCATTTTTTTCTAAATAAAAATGTTTCTTAATGTCAATATAATGTCAAAATAATGTCATTTTTTTCTAAATAAAATGTATCTATGTTGAATAATTGCTGAATACATGCTGAATAAAGTGAGCCCTTTAAGTTAATTTTGTTACTCGTTTTTCTAATTTAGGCTTTGGAAATGTGTGTGTGTTTGCTAGCTCCTACTTTTGGTTAATTTTCAACATTCATTCTGTTGGTAATAATATATTTATTGCTATATTATGCTAGAGGCGAGAGCTTCCATTATGGTTAAGATTCACTTTTAATCCAAATTTCACAAAAATGCTTAAAACATTTTAAAGCTACCATGCTGTGTATGAATTATAAGTATTGAATTTCAAAAATATAGAACAAAGGGACTCCTTCTACTACAGACATAGCCAATTTTTGGTGTCACAACAGCTGTAAAGAAGAGCCTGGGACATCACTCCAAGTGTGAGTTGGAGGCTTCCATTACAGACACAAGAAGTAAGGGAAGCGGTTAGCAAGAGATAGTCCTGAGAATTTATTGTCTCTGGGAAGAAAAAAAACAGCAATAAAATACAAATACAAAAATGTTCCTTTATTCTGTTTATTTGTGGTGTTCAATAAGCTATAATGTCTTCGTTACACAGACAGATCACCCTTCAAAGGTATTTCAAAAGAAGACTGTGTCAACCAAAGGCAGCAATCAAATCAAAGGTAAAATGCCTAACTGCCAATGTAAGATGAAACACGCCCTCCCCCGAACGCAGATAAGGATTAAAGGATTTATCTTTGTGCCCATAAAAAGCTATCCGATTTATTTTTGAAGAATCAATAGAAAAATAAAGTTCAAAACTTTAGTGGCTGAAGCTGACTTGTTATGCATAGAGCCTAAGCAAACCCTCATAAGAGAGATTGGTTTCTTTTATCTTCAAAAAAAGACTCCTTTTACATTCTCCTCCAAGCACCATCATTTAAAAAAAAATCTTTTTAAAAATAGCAGCGCCAGGATTTGATGTCAAAACTTGTGAATAAGAGAACAGAATAATAAATAGTATACACTACTCGCACTTAAATTCAGAACAAAGGATTTAGGTGGATTTTTTTTTTTTTTTACTAAAATAAAATTTAAACACCAAATATTTGTAGAAACATACTTAAGTAAAAAACATGGAACTCGGAGATGTGATTGAGTCTCAAATGAAACAAACTACAAGGCTGCAAACTCTCTTGCTAATATTGGCTGACCAGGCTCCTCATTTTCAAACCATGTCTAAATACCTGTAGAGGGGCGTCCATTATCCAGCTGGAAAGGAAGACAATTTCAGAAAGACTTGTCAAGGGGCAAAACCTTCCCCTCCATGATTAGACTGTGGGCAAGAGGTACAGCTGGCATGAGAGGGTGGTGCTGGCTGGAGTTGGGGAGGAGAGAAGTCTTGCAGTATATGTTGCTTCCACTAAAATCAGGCACAAAAGACTGATTTGTACTGCCAGCAGAGCATGCTCCGTAACACCCAATTCCAACTCTAATTCTGCAATCACTACCTGAACCCATTTCCTGAATGTTCTAACAGTGATTCGATTAGCATTTCCTAATTTCTACTAAAGTGCATTTTGCCCATTTTTTGTTTCCTGGAATTCTGGAACTAACTGCCTACAGTTTTCAGAAGTTGTGTTACATTATTTTGGGTTATTGGTTCTGTCCATATTGGTCTAAGGACACAGGCAGACAAGGTTCTTTGGGTAAATATGATATCTTTTATTAGACCAACTAAATAGTTGGAAAAGCTGTTCTTTACAAGCTTTTGGGCACAAACACCCTTCTTCAGGCATAAGGAGAGTTTGCTGGTGTTTGTGTGCTCTTTTGGGTGGAATAGAAGCTTAAGCCAATATGCAAAATGCAGGTCTGTGAAAATGGCAAATACATAGCAGGGAAGATCAGAAGGGATGGGATTCATGGGCAAAACACAGGTAGGCTGCGGGGAGGACACAAAAGAGGGGAATATTGACCGGTGATAAAATGTAACTGGTAAAATGTAGAGAGGTTACCTGTGGTGAAAGCCCTTTTGCAATTTCCTTTTAGACACCATGATCAAGTTCCAGAATGGTGAAATACAAACCACCACATACAAGAAACCCAAAGACCAACATACATATCTACCAAAGCCAACAATCACTCTAACAATACCAAGAAAGCTGTAATATACAGCCAAGCCCTCCACTACCACCAAATTTGCACTGAGAACACTCGCAATCATCACTTCACAAATCTCAAAAGGGCTTTCACTCAACAAGGACACACTGCCTGAGAGAGAGATCACACTTTTGAAAGAGCCACCTGGATACCATGTGAAGAACTGCTACAGTACAAAAAGAAAATCCCCATGAATTGCACACCATTAGTTATGACATACCATCCTTCCCTGGAACCTATGTGGAGAATCCTCAAACAACTGCAACCCATACTGGAAGACCCAATTCTTAAAGAGATCTTCCCAGAACCACCCAGCCTAGCCTTTAAAATGGGCACTAAACCTCATCACCAGAAGCAAACTTTTTATAGTCCAAAGCACATCAAGTGGATCCAGACCATGCCGGGACAAGAAATGTAAAACCTAACACCACATCTCCAGCACTTTCACAATAACTGTGCCCCACAAAACCACCACCATTCCTAGATCTTATACCTGCACCTCCAGAAATGTAATCCCTCATCCAGTGCACTACATGTCTGATACAAACTATGTAGGGGAAACCAAACAACCATGCACTGGAATGAACGCACCCCAAAAATCTATCAAAGACAAAAATACCAATTACCTATGGGTGCACATTTCTCACAAAACAACCACTCTCTCTCTCTAATCTCCCAGTTCTAATCCGCAAGGGGAATTTACAAAACGCCTATGAACTTCACTACTGGATACAAAAAAATCATGAAGCAAATGTAGACATTAGATTTTTGGCACATTATAACCTGCCTGCCATCTGGCAACCACAGGTAACCTCTACATTTTACCAGTTACGCTTTATCATTGGCTGACATTCCCTCTTTTGTGTCCCCCCTCCACTTACCTGTCTCCTGTCCATTAACTCCCACCCCCTCTGATCTTCTTTGCTATGCATTTGCATTTCTACAGACCTGCATTTTGCATATTGGCTTAAGCTTCCATTGCACTTAAGAGAGTACACAAACACCAGCAGACTCTCCCTATGCCCAAGAAGGGCTCAAAAGCTTGTAAAGAGACATGATTATAGGATCTAACTCTGCTCAGACCCTAAATATTAGAGCACATTACATGGGAGGTGCTTGTGCTCAGTGAAAATAAACAATGCAACTACTGAAAGAAGAGAGGACATTTTTCAAATATCAGATGAGAAGAGTTATGGAATCCAATTTAGTCAATTTCCAGTCATACAGTGTTCGTTTCAATACCAGATGGCTCAAAAGCCTTTCCTCGTATGAACAATACTTTTCTTTAATAACCAGATGACAGGTGTGAAAGGTTGTGTTATGATTCTCGACTGTAGGAGGTTTCTTGGAGCACATGTGTAACCACCTCATTGCCACATCAGGAAGTGCTTCAGTGAGATATATTCCATGTCTACTCCACACATTTTCACCTGAACTGCAAACAATGTAGCTGCCTTATTAGGGTGGTGGGTATGTAGAAATACTCTGTCTCTCTCTGTGGCACTCCATGGCACAATATGGAACTTGTCGAGGTATGTCCCTAGAAACAGATAATGCCTGTAAGACAAATTTGCATCACCACTTCAAACTTGTCTTCCTACAATAATCTCTCTTTCACATATCTCTTCCAGGATCTTCCAGGCCAGCTATAGCTTAACATGGCCCACACTGAATTCCTTATCTTTCCTCCAAGCTCTCTCCACTCCCATTCTCTGGCTCTACTGGCAATGACACTTCCCTCTGCCAATTAGGCCTTCAGCTTAGAAGTCTTTGGACTTATCTATTCCTCCTTGCTCTCTACATTTAAGTCACATCTAAATCCTATTACTTTCACCTATATTAAATCTTCAAAAACAAACTCTTCTTGCCACTTAGAATTTAACAAAGTTTTTCTCTTCTATCTTGACAAATATGGTATTTAATCCCTTCTTTCTGGCCCTCCTGATGTCCATGTTCCTTTCAAGGCATACAACACAATTTGGCCATTAAATACATCTTATCCAAGAAAAAATGTCTTCCATTTAAGCCAGCTATCTCAAGTTACTGCTATCTTTCACATTAACAGCTTTACATGCGATTGCCATTTCTGAAAACTATGCGACAAACCTATTAGAAATTTTCTGAGTTAATAAAAGCTTGTTGGATAACTTGTAATTTGGTGGTTTATTGGGAGTTCACTTTCCTAGGAATTACAAATATTGCTATCCCCTGGTGTCCTGAACAGTGCATCCACCTACTCACCTGGTACCAAAAAGAAATAGGTTCTAATAAGCTGTGATCACAGATGTTATAGCATCCTAGAACACACAATCTAACCAGGCCCATATATTCAGGAGTGTTAGAGTGATGTTGCAGCTGCGACAGTCCAGAAATTAGGTAAGAGACAAATATTTCTTAGGGTTTTATCTTCCATTGGACCAACTGCACACGCTGGTATAGAGTTTTTAGAAAATGAAGGATAATCTCTCTACATACAGATTTCATGCCTGCAGAGTAACATCTGAAGATGGGGGTTGTGCCAAGAGGTCAATGTCTGACTGGTTGCAAAATGGCCTGAAAGCAATAGAAGGATTTTTTTTTTTTAAGCTGTAATGAAGAATCATACAGAAACTGAGATATCATCTGAGAGTCATAGAGTAACAAATTTACTCTTAATCCATTCTGAGGAAAGCAAGAAAATTTCTATCTTCTATGGTCACCTTGCTAACTTGAATAGAGACGCCTAGGAAAGGATCCTTACAGGCACCTTAGTAATAAACTAAGTGGTCAAATGTTTCAGTTACAGGATGAATCAACCCAACTTGGGTCCCAGAAAGACTGGTGTTCCCAACCTGGCCCACTGCTGCTTCTTCCCACTGCCCAGCCATTTTGTTAGATAAATCCCAGCTCCACGGGCTGGATCAAATGGCTCTGTGGGCCAGATCTGGCCCTCAGGCTCTATGTTGCCAACCCCTGAACTCAGAAACTGTGGAAAGGAACTGAAATCATTTGTACTTTTGAGATCCACTCAGTAACGTAATCAGTGGGGTCAGCAGTTAATTTATGAAAATAACCAGTTTTATATAAAACTTGTCAGAAAATAATAACAGCCAATTCTATTTCATTCCTGATTTCATTTGAAAATTCATTAGCTTTGCAGGTTGCTCTAGTTCCATTTGTTCAGTATGCAAAACTCTACAGCAAATCTCAACTTGAAATAATATCTCTATATCAAAGAGCTGATATAGGAAAACTGCTTGCCTGAGAGACTGGCCAGAGGCCTGCTTGGTCAACAGTTTCAAGACTCCTAATTCCAGGTTTCTTTTTTGAAGGCAAGAGACAAAATCTTTGGACAGGTTCCAAAACCATTCAGTAGTATGTTACACAAAAGCCAGTGGGTAATTGTACCTATACATGACTGATTGTAAATGACAGATGTATGTGTTTTTGGGGTGATGGATACACTAGTCCAGGTTTAGCAAACCTGCAAAATCAATGGTAATTCACCAATGTATGGATTAGTATTTGTGTATGGCTTATAAGGATAAATTTGTTTTTTGTGTTAGCTGCAGATTTGCTTTTGATAAGAGTGTAAGCTTATCATACATTACTGAAACTGGCATAGCTAACATGGGCCAGCTACCTTTCAAGAACGCTCAACACTCACCTGCTAATCTTCTATGGCAAACTGTCAAATGGAGTACACTCTTGCGCTGCAGCTAAGAAGCGGTACAAGGACACGCTAAAGGTGTCCCAAGAGTTTCAGTATCAACCCAGAGTCATGGGAGTAAGTCATTTGCAACCGTCCATCCTGGAGGTCATCAATCCAGAACAGAGCACTGGCCTTCAAACAGCAATGCACAGAAAAAGCAATGAAGAAACGCACAGCTGGAAAAATGAAAACCTCTCACCCAGTTCTCAATGCTTTTCTGCCCCTGCTGCAGCAGATTGTTCAAGGCAAAGATTGGGCTTATAAATCACCTATGTACCCATGCAACCTAGCCTCCACTCCCTCCTTTCTCTTTCCTCTCTTTTCCCCTTTTCTCTCTCTCCCCGTTTCTTTCCCATTTATTTTCTCTCTTCTCGCCCTGCCTGCACTGGATGCGGTCATCTTTTCCTGCATCCAGGACAAGAAGCTACAGAAGAAACACTTTTTCTGAACTACAAAGATAGAAATACTTTAAGAAATGTTAACTCTTTAAAAGACTGCACATCACACTAGATAGCAAAACAGTTCAGCGTCTACAATACTCACTACACAACAACCTTTTGACCTAGGCAGTTCACAGTACGGACACTAACAGCTCCAATCACAGGAGCTCTATTGGACTATATACTAAAAGACTCCCTGTTGATATGTTGAGGTAAGAGGGTAGCGAATTGTGTCTGCCACAGTTATGGGGGACACAGTCTTCCTGACAGTTGTTAAACTGGGGTTTTAATGAAGGGAAAAAGCAACACCTTTCCTAGCACAGAATCAGAGCTGTCAGCCTCTAGCAGGTCCTTTAGGGCACCAGTGCAGGGAACTTTCCAGGCAGTTAAAAAAAACAACAAAAAACCAAATTAACAGGATTCTAAGCCAGTTTCACCTGTGCTATGCAGAACCCTGTAGGCAACACAAGCTGTCAAGAATCAGGTCAGTATCATGTTGCTGCTGCTGCTGCTTCCTGGGAATCAGTGGCAGTAAAAGCAAAGACTGGGTAAATATTTTTCAAAATTACTACTAGGTTTTGGGTGTCCAACTTAGGGCATTTAAAAAAGGGTCAGACCTTCAGAGGATGAGTGGTCAGATTATTCTGAAAACAAGCCCCTTTATGGTGCATTGAATTAGATGTGCAAACCATTACTTACCTTGGCAAATCCTGAACTTGAGATATTAATTGGAAGGGATGATACAAGAAAAAGAAAAAGGTCTAAAAGGGGTAGACACTGACAGTATTTTTTCCTTTCAGTAATGAGGAAATGCAGCAGGAGAAGAGAGAGAATGCCAGATGACAGAGATGCAGGTACAAGCTTTATATTTGCCATGCTGGACTTATACAACAGGGTCAAAAGATAACACCATGGTAGAAAACTAAGCACCTTTTTCCAGAGCTGGTCTAAAGGCAGAACCTTGCTTCTTGCCCTGGACATTGGGCCTTCTTATATTAATTTAGGCCCTTAGCTATAGTGTCTTGCGCATTTTTTCAAACTGTAGTTACAGATGGGAGGATAGAAGTAAAGATGTGTGTAAATGGGTAGATGACTGGATATAGGTCAGCAATGCAGAGAGATTGATGGGGAAAGTTACAAAGGAGATTTGAAGGGGTAAGTAAACCAGACAGAAAAATATAGAGAAGGTAAATATGGAAGTTTAAAGAGAAAGGAAAGAGTAAACAATAGACCCTGAAACAATGAAGAACAAAGATGTTGTCTTACAATTTTATACTCCTGCCTCACATCACAGTATTTGTCTTCCAACAACAATAGCACTGGTAGACCTTCAGTCTCTTTAGCTCTTTCCCCTTTTGAGGGTCAAAACTCAAAGGTACTTTGTTATTTGTAGAGGAATTATATTCTATGGTGTACTATAGGAAAGAACAGAGAAAAAAAATTGGAACTGTACCAGGTGAATAAAGAAAAAAGGAAGAGAGTCTTTGTAAGTTAGATTTTTAACATCTGTTAAAAAGAAATGTGTTATAATGTTACATACTAGGCAATACATTACTGTTTTAAATATACAAGGACTTCAGTGTTATTTGTATGACAGCACCGTCCTTTTGGCTAAGTGTTTTTCAAACATGACAAAGAAATAGGCCTTGTACCCAGCAGCTTACATTGTAAATGTAAGCTGTATCAATGTACCACATGTAAAATGTACATCTTTGTAAAATGTACCAATACCTTTATTTTCCAAATTCTGTTCAGATACATTTATTGTGATGGCCTCCGCTGCTTAAAAGAAAGGCAGTTTGGTCTAGGGGATAAAGCACTGAACTGTGACTCGGGGGACAAGTAATTTTGCATTGGTGTGGCTCCACTTCTTTTCACGTCCATTTAGATTGAAGACTCTTTAATGTACTAGTGTACAGAACAGAGGACAATGGGACTGGAATGGCTATCCATGTGTTGCTTTAATACTACTGCATTGGGAAGTTGGCCACAGCTAAAGGCAGGAAGGGGTGGAAGGATGGAGCAGGGATTGGGGAGGGGCTGACTAGAAAGGGCTGATACTCCAGCCAGTATTTAGAAAAAATCAGAGGGCATGCCCCCACAAGCAGGAACGTGCATTTCCCCAGGGACAAGTAGGAGCAGCACACCTTGTGCTGTTCCTATGTGGCCCCAGGAACGCCTGTGCCACGTGCGCTCTGTCTGGCACAAGGCACACTGCCCCAGGTAGGGTAGGGGAGACTTAGGCCAATAACTGTGCTGGCCCCAGCAGCCTTACCTAGGGTCCTGGGGGCCTCTGGGAGTTGCAGCCACAGCACCCCTGCAGCAGAGAGCCTGACCGGCAGCCAGAGTGCAGCTCTGGCCAGACAGGCTCTGGTTTTGGGTAGCGAGTCCTGCTGCCATGTGTCACCC